ATACGTAACAAAATACAATTAAAATATTGGAGCAGCAAAAAACATCAGACGAAGATAACAGGCTATACGCAATGTATGAATAATAATGTTCGTGTGCAAAATGTGTACTATATTGGTAAATGCATATTATTATAGAATAGTAAAATAATATCTTTTATTTCTCTCCATTTAACGACCACTCTTTATAACGCCGAAAAATGTTCAGTCCCTTAAGTGTCGTTATATAGAGTTTACACTGTATATATATAACGTTTCAGTGGTATCATCGCATAGAAAAGGTTTAGATCATTAACTACCCCGTAAAGAAAAATATGTGAATATACTGCGATTACATTAAAAGTATTACACTAACTTAGAACTCTACTTACCCAAGTACGTAAAATTTACAAGATGTCATCAAAACCATTCCTCAATTTTAACAACTGATGAAAGCACTCAACTCGCAACTTAATATCAAAAATCTACGACGAATACAGACGCTTTTACACTGCCGCTTCATTTCCTGTAGCCGGAAAAGTGTACGTATCTTTTTTCCGGGAATGTAATAAGTACTGGTGTCGCGTCGGCCAAATTATCCGAAAGACATAGAGGTCTATCCGTAAAGGTGTACGTACTGTGTATGTACACAATATATGGCAACGCCTGCCTAATTGCAGCGAATTCTGGACTCTTGTCAATATATGACCCTTTGGGGGGGTTGGGTCATTCGAACGAAGACCAGGTCACCCTGGCTACTACAACTAGTACTCACCCTTTTCGGCGGTGACCGGTGTGCTTAGGAAGGGAACCTATTTAACTGCTTATACAAAAGGGTTAACAATAAAATATTAAGAAAACTGGTCAGGCTGGTATGCTAATGATATCGGTGATACGGTCCATTGTTGTAACGTATAACGGAGGTCATCTGGATAAGTAATGATCGAGTGTTTGACTAAAATGCATCTGTTCTTATTACAAGAGCGGAAGTGTTTATATCCTGTCCGATTCCTAGAGGAATCAAGCGTTGAATGTGGAATATTATACTTTGTATCATAGTCTAGACATCAAAACAAAAGTATTTAACTAGAAAAACGTGAAAAATATCTCTAAAAAAAGTATTTTTCTAAGATTCTGATGTCGGACTTTTAATTAATAACATAGTCATTTTTTATTACATAACAAACATCCCCAAATGGAAATGAATATACCTTAAAGTGATTGATGAAAACAGTTTTTTGTTTGAAATAAAAGAAACATTGTTATCATACTTAACTAATTAGTAAATCTTTAATTTAAGTTAGATTCCTGACCGTTACTATTAAATTACGTAGGTTTTTCCAGGGTGGCGGTCAAATAATTACACAACTATGTGTTTATTTAACCATCTTCAGACTGAAAAAATTTTGTTTTTTACTTATAGTTCTACTATTTAGGTGTTTGTCATCATCATCATAAGGTCGTCAGTCCTAAGACTGGTTGGACACGTACCTCCACTCTTTCCTATCCTGAGCTAATCTTCGCATTTCCCTAAAACTAGAACACTCCACATCCTTAACTATTTGCGAACAGTAATCTAATCTAGGTCTACCTCTACCCCTCCTAACTCCTGTTTCTGCCTCTAATATGTCTCTGACTAGACTTTCATGCCTAAGAAGGTGTCCTACCAACCTATCTCGCCTATTTTTTATTGACTTCCATAGAGTCCTCTGTTCTCCTATTCTTTCCAATACCTCTTCATTTCTAACCTTTTCTACCCACGATATCCTCATCATCCGCCTATAACACC